ATCTATCTATCTATTTATCTATCTATCTATCTATTTATCTGTCTATTTATTTATCTTTCTGTCGGTTGTGAAATTAATTATGACAATTATAGTTTTATTTAAAAATTCTTACGAATATAGTATGTGGTAAGAACGACACTGTCAGAATGATTTAATTAGAAATGCATGTGAACTGATAACAAATGGTACAGTGTGGAGATCCATCGAACTGTTCACTGACAGTTTAAACATATGTCATTATATCAAAACTAAAGCTTTTGCAAAACCGTTTAACACATCAATTGTATTGTAAAATAACTTTGCACTAAGGTGCATCGGTTTTGAGGAATAATAATTGCAGTCGTGTGTATCTATCTATTCATGCATCCATCCATTTTACTACATCATAAATTGAAAAAAGTCACTAGATTGATTTTTAGTAAGTTGAGGATTGACAATGTAGATTAATAGTCGGTAACAGTGAGAATACTAAGTTTCGATGTTATTCGCGGTCGTGCAAAGTATGCCATAAGAATGGAAGTGATCTATGTTTGATTTTCGCGTTACAGTGTGGATTTTAGTGAATTTTGTAATCCAAGTAAATGCTTTTCTATAAAGGTGGAAATAAACTACTTGATTTATTATTCAGTAGATGAATTTACAAGGTTGATTTATCAACGCCACAAAATAATTTTATAATCGATGAAATTGGTTGTTCTGAGCCATCATTTGCATAAACATTTAATTAGATCTGACAATCATAGTTAAACGATATCCTCGTATCTCTTATTCTAAATATAAAGTGAGCAAGGATAATAGTTAGAGGCGATTCGTGATTGTGGTTGTATATAATTTATGTTGACGTATTGATTTAATGTGTAAATCGTGATATTCTGTTTATGTTGGTGAGTATCACACTTTAAGTAAATCCATGCAATGTACAACGCTATGATATCACAGTGTTAACTCCACATGTTCCACCTAGATTTTCTCTTAGTTTGTATATGCCAGTATGACGTATCTGGAATCATGAAGGCATGAACAATTCACATGAGATTTAAATCCGAGTATCTCAGTTTCAGATAAATAAACACTGATCTACTCAGAACTATGTGATCGGTGATATTTAAATCACTATGCACTGATTGAATGATATTTCAAATTATTACATGATGGGTAGATAAATTACTCGAAAGTGAATGATTAATTTGAATGAGTGAATATTTTGCCCATATGATGGTATATAATTTTTTTTTGTCGTATTGATTTAATGTGTAAATCGTGATATTTTGTTTATGTTGGTAGGTATCGCTTTTTGAATAAATGCGAAAGGTGCACAGATTTATGATAACACAGTCTTACGTTCAAATATTCCAATCTCCTTGTTTACAGAGTTCATGGACGTGGATATATCTATGATTCATTTTGGGTAGAATGGAAATGTTAGGATACCATATATACTAAATCGTACAACATATAACTCACTGTAATTCTGCAATACTCAAAATCTTCAGGTGTATGAGATAACGTTATATATTGATATCACAGAATGATCATTCTATTTTTTACATTTGCAACGTCAAACAACCTCAGGTCTATCAAGACTGCTATATAGTATTATCGGTTCTGAGCAGCTCATTGGTTCAGTAGAACTGTGACAACCATCTCAATAAAAGTCATTTGAGAGGATATTTAACATTTGTACTATTTGTTAACACTAATGTTTATTACCAATGTTCAAGTATACTGAGATGAAATAATGTGGATCGTGCATTTCAGTAAAACATATAATACAAAGATTACATGATGAATGCAGTTCCAATTAATCAAGATAAAGTGCTAGAATTTAGTAATATTCCTGAAGAAGTTCAGGTTACACACCCTAATTAATCTTCCTTTAAAAAGTTTGGAAATAGGAATCATATCTTGAGGCTTCACCAATCGCAGAATAAGCCGATAGCATAAATACAAAAGAAGATGTGTTACCTTTAGTTAGTTTTTGAAGAGTTATTATTTATACTTACATTGCATAATAGTAAAATAGCTGGACCGTTGTATTTTATATTTCTCTTATTTTAAACTTCCAGTAGACTCTTAAACACTGTTGTTATAAATTTTACTAATCTTGAGTGATTGCTAATTATATATCGACCGGTTGCTCCGATTTACATCACTTCTGCCTTGGATGTGGATGAATTGAAAATTCATATTCGTGATATACTGTGCTTCAATTGGTACAGTTTCATAAACTAGTGATTTAATGTGTATTACTCTACAATCAGGGACAAAGAACGAAATACTGTGACTACAATTCTGCTAATCAATTAATTCAATTTTCACACTTCGTCAACATCCAATAGTATTGATGTTGACTGCCGACATGATGTAAAGTGTTTACGATGACTGGTGTAGCTATTATTTACTCTTAATGATCCAACATCCAACATCATATAACGATATCGATACACCTAGGTTACTGAATATCCTCCACATCAATGATTGAGTGATCAAGACCACAGAAGAAGATTGTAACAAGAAAGTGATTTGGTATTTATCAACCAATCTGTATATTTGATCAGATTCTGTTTGATAATCAATCACATCATTAAGTATGGTATTATCACTGAATAAGGTGAGCTCGAATGAAAACATGATGCATCAGTTCAGTGTCAGTCCTCTTCTACATTCAGTTACTTTCCACCTTCTCTTATCACTGGTCAAATTATGTGTAATTGTGCATAACTTCCCTTCACCTATGTTTCTGCTCTCTTTTATGTTAGCCTTAATTTCTTTCTGATGGTTTGTCGCTCTTCAATACAGAATGAGGTGCAAGCTGAAGCTTATATACTACTGTCCAATATTACATACTTTTTCTTCTAATCACTTGTAGCTACAATGTTGAAATGTTCAAGCTTCGAACTGAATTACAATTATGAAGGAATTAAAAAAAACAACATTGGGTTGTGAAATAAAATGCCTCGACAAAATTGGAGGAAAATTCGGGATTTTGACGTATGATTAAAAATCAAGTAATATTATGTTCACAAGTGTTTTTAAACCGCATCAGATCATGGTTAGCAGTTGAATACACGATAAGCATTTCGTCCGTTTTTGGACTCTGTTGGATGTGCCTGTTTTCACATCTTCATTTTCACTTCCTAACAAAAACTTAGAACCAATGTCTCTCTAGATGCTCGTCAACTGCTTGTGTTGTCACGACTTTATTCATCATCCAGAAAATTTTGTAAAAATAATGTAAAATGTTGAAACTTTTCATTAGTCACTGTACTGGTGAAGAAATAGACGATCTGGATATATACTTTAATTTATCCTTTCGCATAAATACCTAGGCAATATGAGGTGCTTGTAGGTTTTCGCTATTGAAAAGGACACATTTCTTGGAATAATTATCCAAATGTAATTCGAATTAAGACAAAGTGTGTTGGAATTTTTAAGATTAGATCGCATAGCCAAAAATTGCGTCGTGTTCGCACATTCTCGTAGTGACTTGGCCTCGAGATAATTCCTTTGATTTATCGTATCAATCAATCAATCTGGTAAGCGTTATTAGATAAATCGCGACAATCTATGAATTAAGAAGGCAACACGAAGCGCCAACTACTGTCTATTATTGAACAGCGCAGATAACGACGCTAAAAACGCACTAAGCGAATTTCAGCAGAAAGGCTAATACGTGTGAGCGAATACAGAGTAGAATGTAATCGAATCAATTAATTAGTAAGATTCAAGCACATACATATATATGTGGGAAACCGAATGATTATTCGAGAAATAACTAAGCGACTAACATTTAAGCTAGAGAGAGAGAGATGTGTGTGTAGGCTGTCACATGTGAACAAGTATACATGCTAATAAAGACATGATAGTAGTTATAATAATAATTATAATACAATATATTGTTACTGCTCAAATAACACTACCTGTTAAATAAGTTAAAGAAAGGGCTTGACAAAATTAACCGTAAACAAACTTAATTGTAAGGAAGATGCTATAATCAAATTGAATAAAGTAAGTACAATGGTAGAAAATACTGACTTATACAAAATTAATGTAAAGCTTCTCCGTATGTTAACCTTTGTGATGTTTATCTGAGTTCGCGCACATCTGTGAGGCCGCGTAAAATAATGATATAAGATCAAATGGATGTGGTATCGGCTTTTATAAAATTATACTTATAGGTGCAAAGGTACACGAAATATGTCGAATTTTACGATACATTATGTAAACTTCATAATGCCAGCGTACACAACGAAGAGGAAGAAAAATAATTTGTGTTCAAAACAGTGAAAAAAATTACCAGTTCAAAATTGTGGCGGTTATCTAATTCGTTGTTACTGAAGGCTCTTAAACTAAGACATTATGTTTTACAAAAATGAGGATTGATTAAACATATAAGTCTTGTTCCTAATATTTTTTCTATTGTTTTCAAGTTTGAAGCAGCTGAGAAGAATCCACGAAATAATGAGATTCATGTTATTCTGCTACGGACGTTTTTCTTTCTTCATAGAAATATAGAAAATGGTTACAAATATTTGTCAGACACTTGTAAGTCATAAGAAAATTTCCATTTGTTTATAATTAGCTGAGTAAGATCTTTTGATGAGGTCGGGACCAAAGATCAAACTGAAAAATTAAGTAGTTCGAAAAATAATACGGTTTCATCATGGAACACTAATTTACTACTTGCTACCCGGTGTAATATCCTGATAAAATTGAATTCAGCACTTTCCAATCCACTGTTAGCATATATAGTAATGGATATCAAAACATCAGCGAGGAGTGAATTGTCTCCTTATTTCTTTTCATCGCCACTCTGCCCGGGAAAAGACTTATAGACATTTTGGATCGAGAAATAATGTCAGGTGATTTTCAACCAATCACCTTCGTACTTGCCAAACAGATAATTCTTGTTTGATTGGCTAACATGTTTCAGCTGCATTATCGGTCTTGACCAATGAAATTTCTGCAAAGATAATCAATTACAGACGACAAAATACTGTCACTGTTACTGCGATGATATGTTGTTCAGATTGAAAGTTGGACTAAGGAAGTATATTTTAGGGAATTGAGGATTTATTAAACATAATAAGCGTTCTAATGAAAATGCAGTAAATTAGAAACATTAATGGACTATTATAATTACTGGATATCCTAAAACATTTTTGCAACGAAATTTAATTGAAAGTAAGTCTGTTGTAAGTATTTCGTATAATACGTTTGCTTTCTTTCCTATCCATCTTTGCTAATAAAGTCTTCTGTGATTTTCATACCTTTATTTAATACTTTGGGGACAATGCGCCTAAATGTTTCTTGCACATCGTCTCACACTTTAAATTTATAAGTGACCTATTTCATCAGTCAATGCCGTCTTTCAAACCCTAGTTATGTCAAATGTATCAGTTTTATTTCAGATAATTAAACGCGTGAAACATTGGTCTTCAATGAATAAATTAGTGCTTGAGGTAATTTTATTCTGGATATACAAACACATTTGAAAGGAATGACTCCGGGATTATAAACATGATAATAAGTTTCTTACGTGTGAAGTATGAATCTCATAAGCTTAATATTGTTTGGTTTCTGTGATCCACGTAACTGAGACGGGTTGGGAATGTGTTGGAGTGAAAACATTTTAATGAATGATTCTGTCATGACGGAGAGTTATTAATGGCGCGGTATAGATCGGATGAATTATTGTTATTAAAATATACATGTCGTCGTGTATAAATATTGACTTAATTCGCATTAATGAATAACGGAATTAAATAAGCCAAATACGAGAATGGGTTTTGAATATGTATTTTTCATGCACTCAGTGATTTGAATAGGCGATCGAGTGGGATGAAACAAAGAGGGAAGAACGGGGCACATTGAAGAAGGCTTGTGAGCCAACTTAATTTATTCAAACGTTAATCGATATTCATAGTCACACAAAAATAAGTTACAGACATGTGATGATTAAGATAAGAAATGCACCTACTTATTTTCTTACACCTGTTACCCCCGATGGAGCATAGACCGCCGACCAGCATTCTCCAACTAACTCTGTCCTGGACCTTCCTTTCTAGTTTTATCCAATTGGTGGTCATTCTTCTCATTTCTGTCTTCATTTCTTCGGTCTTCCTCTTCTCCTTTGGCCTTGAGGATTTCAAGTGAGGGCTTGTCTTGTGACGCAGTTGGGTGCTTTCATCAACGTGTGTCCTATCCATTTTCAGCGCTTCTTCTTGATTTCTTCCTCCACTAGGATCTAATTTTTTCTCCCACAATAAGTTGTTGCAGAAAGTGTCTGGCCAACGGATCCTAAGTATTTTGTGTAGACAACTGTTAATAAACACTTGTATCATCCGGATGATGGCTCTCATAGTTTTCCAGGTTTCTGCCCCATATGGTAAGACTGTCTTGACATTTGTATTGAAAATTCCGACCTAGGTGTTGGTTGACAGTTGCTTAGAGTTCGAGATATTCCTCAGTTGTAAATATGCTGCTCTTGCTTTTCTGTTCCGCGCCTCCACATCTGCATCAGATCCACCATGTTCATCAATGATGCTGCCCAAATATGTAACGGTTTTTACATCTTTCAGATCTTCTCCGCCAAATGTGATTCGATTGTTGCATGCTGTGTTGTATTGGAGAATCTTGCTTTCCCCTTCGTGTATGTCGAGACCTACTGCTGCTGAGGCTGCTGCTACACTGGTCGTTTTCACCTGCATTTGTTGTTGCATGTGTGATAGAAGAACCAGATCATCTGCGAAGGCTAGGTCGTCCAGCTGCACCCTAGCTGTCCACTGTATCTCATGCTTTCCCCTAGATGTTGATGTCTTCATAATCTAGTCGATCACCAGGAGAAAGGGAAAGGGTGAGAGTAAGAAACTTTGCATGACACCAGTCTTTACTTCGAACGAATCTGTGAGCTGTCCTCCGTACACGGTTTTGCAGTTTATCCCATCATAAGAATTTGGTATGATGTTGACTATCTTCTCAATCGTGCCATAGTGTCGAAGAAGCCTCCATAGTGTTGTCCTGTTCACACTATCAAATGCTTTTTCACAGTCAATGAAGTTGATATAGAGTGATGAATTCCATTCAATTGATTGTTCCACAATGATCCGTAGTGTCGCTGCTTCGATGTCGGGTGGGTTCAGTTGAGCTGTTGGATTCAAGAGTTCCTTAAAGTGCTCTAACGACCTGTTTCGCTGTTCTTCAATGTTGGTCATCACTTTGATTTCCTTGCTTTTCACTGGTCGTTCTAGTTTGCAATAATTCCCAGCGAGTTTTTTTGTTGTATCATACAATTGTCTCATGTTTCTTTCTCTTGCAGCCTTTCTAGTCGTTTGTCGGTTCTGATACTCCTCTTCCCTTGCTTGTCTACTTCTGTGTACTCAGCTTGTGCCTTGGCTTTCTCTGCTTTTGTTCGGCTAGTATTGATTACTGCCTTCTTGTTCCTCCTTTCGTGAGTCTTGTCCACTGTGTCAACAGTGACCCATTCTTTGTGATGGTGCCTCTTGTGGTTCAGAACCTAATGGCATGTTGTACTTGCCTCCTTCGTCCCCTTCCAGCTGTTCTCAATGGTGGTTCCCTCTCCATTGAGTACATCGAGAAAAGCCTGGAACCTATTGCTGAGTGCTATCTTGAATTTACGGAGTCTGTCAGCATCCCGAAGAAAGGCCGTATTAAACGTTTGTGATGTCCGCCCCATTGTCCAGTGTTTTCTGAGTTTTTCATCTTGGAGACCAGATGCTATATCAGCTCCTCTCTCAGTTCTTACATACTCCATCGTCCTCCTGAACTTTGTGTTGATGCGGATATGGTCGATTTGGTCCTGTGTAGTATGGTCCGGTGAAGTCCATGTGGCTTTGTGTATGCGTTTATGTTGGAGTATAGTGCCACCTATGACCAGTTTATTAGACACATAGGTTTGCAAATCTCTCACCATTTTCGTTCCTTTCTCCTAGTCCATGTCGCTCCATGATGTCTTCATATCCGGTGTTGTCCATTCCAACCTTGTCATTTGGGTCTCCCATCAGAATAGTCAAGTGCTTAGTTGGGCGTTTCTCAACGATTGATTGCAGCCTATCGTAGAATTGATCTTTAACGTCTTCAATGTAGTCTTTGGTAGGAGCATAGCATTGGATAACCTTCGTTGAAATGCCCTCTTCATGTGTTATGAAAGAGGTTTTGATGATCCTGTGTCCATGAGTTTCCCATCCAATAATTGCTTTTTGTACTTGTTTGGATAGCATCAGTACAACTCCTTGCGTATGTGGGGCATTTTTTCTTCATGTCCTGAGTATAACAGCAGATCTCCTGAGGTTAGTCTTTGTAGTTCAACCTGCGTCCAATACGTTTCAGTGATTCCAAACACTTACAGGTTGAATCTTTTCATTTCTGCCACATCTTAGATGACTCTCCCGATCTACTACATTGTAGAAACATCCCATGTACCTAAATTAATGCTTGCTGTCATTGTCAGAAGGGGCATCAGCCTCGTGACTTTCGAAGGAACTCGGCTTTCATCATGAGACGTCATAACTCTTCTGAATGAAAACATTCGAACTCTCAGGGCAGAGTTTGAATGGTTAGAATTATTTTTTCTGGTTAGCTTATTTTAGCGAGTTAGTTTTTTGCGGAATGGGATCGCTAACCCAATGCCCAACCCTCCTCACTTATCCGGGTTTGGGACCGGCAGTAACCCCAGAGAAACTCCAGGCGGAGTTACACATATATACTCTTACATGAAAACAGTCAAGGTTAATAGGCGAATAATTAACAAGGTCAAAACGTGACTCAAGAAAGATGAATAAATTGGCCTGTCCAGAAATTAGAATAAGTTGTGTGGGCTTAATACAGTGAACGACACTACAGTTATACAGATAATTAATAAGAATAAGAAAGCACTTGGTATGTTATTTAAAATAGACCATACTTGTGAAAATAGTTTGTATATATATATATAACATTACACCTGTTACTCGTTATGGAGCAGCATAGGACGCCCATCAGCATTCTCCACCGAATTTGAGATGGCGGAAAAAATTTGTATTTCAAGTGGATGGTTGTGAGAACAAAACTCCATCAAAATTCTTCATCGAACTCTGTCCTGAGAAATCTTTTCCAGTTGTATCCGGTTGCTATCTATTCTTTTGATGTCTGCTTCCGATTCTCAACGTGGTATTTTCTTTGGCCTTCCTCTTTTCTGTTTCTCTTAAGGGTTCCAAGGTAGCGCTCGCTTCATGATACAGTTTGATGATTTCCATAACGTATGTCCTATCCACTTCCAGCGTCTTTTGCTAATTTCCTCTTCAGATGGAAGTTGGCTTTTCTTTCCCCCAGCAGGCTGTTGCTGATAGAATCCGGCCAACGGAAATTAAGTATTCTGAAAGAAAATCGTTTATAAGTACTTGTAATATTTTGATGATGCTTTTGATAGTTCTCCAAGTTTCAGCTCTATACAGTAGAGCTATCTTGACGGTCGTATTGAAGATTCTGATTTTATGTTGACTTGTAAACAGTTATTTTAAGTTCTATATGTTTTTCAATTGTAGGAGTTCTGCCTTTGCTTTGCAAACAAACGAAGCTCGCTGTTCAGTCATTTCAGACCGATAATTCTAAGAGTTTTAGCGTTTCAATTTTGCGCGTCTAACGTTTTCTCTAAAGTAATGCACTATTGTGATTGTGACCCTGGGAGTGATCAATAGTCAACACTGTTTGTATGTCTTATACTGGAACAATGTGATTAATCGGTAAATCAACCTTCCAAAACCTTATTTCGTGTATGGTCGTAATGGAAGCTGTTGATTAAGTACACTTAGAAAAAAAAGTAGTTTCCAAAAGATTCATTACTCAAATGAAGGTTTGGAGTAGTACATACGTTATACATCCACAGAATAACATATCTTAAGAACAATGATGAGGGACTGAAATTTATTCGTGCAGAGAATATGAACATTGTTTGATTTTGTCTCAAAACAAATATATAATAATATCTAGTCTAGAAAAGAATTATAAAACTATGAAATAACATCAATAAAATATACAGACATTTTACGTTTAGGTTGTCTATATGATTCATCTATTATACGTGAATTCCTATGAATTAGCACTTGTTATTGCTTAACTATGCTACACTACACTACACTACACTATGTACATATGAAATATTTCAGTGTCAAATTTCAATAACAAAT